ATCTTGCTCTGAAATGTATCAAATGCATTTTAAAAACAATGTGTTACTTATGATCTTCAGTATACATAAAATGCTGTAAACAGGTTGCAACCTTTTGTACCACGAAAGAGGCAACAGAACTTTTTAGTTTTCACTTGCATGTCTTAAGTTGGGGGTTTTGAAACGTAGCAACCATGAAGTTTGTCCAGTCCCTTGAAGTTCAGTGGTACTTCAGCATGTCTTTCGGAAAGGTGAACCCTCTTAGTACCTCATGTAAGTTAGGAAGAAATTCTAAAGTAAGTGGCATTTTCATTCTGGAAAAGAAACCATTGATAGACCGATTTTTTTTTATTTGTGTTGGACATCAAAGAAATTCAGTGATCCTCACTCTGAGCACTGATGAATTAAAAACAGTATCTGAATTACAGGCTGGAAGGTTGGTTTTTGGACACTGAGCTACTGGCAGGAATGTTAAATGGTGAAACTACCCATGAAACTAAGGTCTTCTGGTGTATTGCTAAAAGCAAGGAGTTTTAATTCTCAGGAATAGCAGAATGATTAAATTTTACTCTCAGGAAGTAATTGTTGTGTTTTCACTGTTTGAATACTTCAGATGTAGACTTTGTATGTGTTTAAAATATTTTCTAGTGACTGGTGAATGGCATTTTCTTTGAAATTTCTAAAAATTGAGCAATACATCCAAAGTATTGATAGAGTTTAGCAGCTCATGTTATTGAGCTCGGAATATATTTCAGTGTCTCTGCATAGCTCATCTTTGACTATAAGTTCTCCATAGGAGAAAAAAAAAAACAAAACAAACAACTGAATTTTCTACAGTTTCTCAGGTAATTTTTATCTGGGTCAGATATCTGGTCTTTTATTATCATTGCTATTCTAATTGCCCCTAGTTTCTGAGCAGACCAAACTAGGGAAAAAAATCTTTACTTTTTTACAAATGGATGTCTGTCCAAGGCAGTAATGGATTGGGACATTAAAGACACGTTAATTGAAGTTATATCTTAGCTTTGTTTGTAATTGTAAATACAAATTAGTTCTGATCTATGTAGTATTTGAACCATATGGTTTTTTGAGTGTTATTCTCTCCATTATGGAATCAGATGATGTGCTCCCTTTTGTGTGTCCATTAAGCCCAGAAGTTGCTTTAATTTTAGTTAATTTCTAGCAAAACCAATTCTATGTCATAAAATCAAATTATATTTGGCTATCAGGATCAAAATATGAAAGGTGTTGGAGAGGAGCGTTGTTTTGGCTTTTTTTTTCAATCACTATTCAATATACTGCATGTAAAATGCTGAAGTCATAGGCCTGAATTAGGTGAAGATGTGGGATGACTTGACATGAATATAGTAAAAATTTTGTACTGGAGGGGTAAAACATATTTTATTAGTGGGTCTGTTAGGTGTCTCCTGATTCATTTCACTCCAAATGTGAAGCTGGAGAGATTGAGACTGTTGGTATAGCGGGGGAGAATACTGCTGAAGAAACTTTGAGAATGTGAAGTTTGACAGTTAAAGGTAAACCAAAGCTCCTTAGGCTTTTAGCACAATGCTGTCCTCTGGTGGAACAGTGTTGCATTAAAACAGCACTTTTCATTGAGCAGAAAAGTTTTAATTAGATGTGATATATGTTATGCAGTGTATTCTGGGACTTATATAGGAATCACAAAGTAGAAGAAAATTTGAGGACACTTCCAGTATTATCTATGAGAGTGAAAATGTGATCTGTAACTAAAATGGATATTTCTTACTCTTATCATTCCTAGTCAATGCTTTGCAAAAGGTGAAGCAGAAGCTCTTACTGAATAGCAAGTCGTTTGGGGTTTAGTAGGATTTCATTCTAGGATTCTTTTAAAAGTCAGTAGTAACAATCATGCAAGTCAAAAGTGTATCAAAATCCATGTCACACATTGTTCATGCTCTTCTTTTGGCTGCAGGTATTTGTTCCCCACTTTAAAGCGAATCTCTCCAGACTATGTGTTTTCTTTCTCTTCTCAAAACCAGTGATTAATATGGATGCATCCATTTTAATCTGACGTTTTTTAATCTGTAACATACCTGCTGTAGTTGCAAATATAAGGTAAATGCAGGGAAATGTTGGATAGGCACATACTGAAAGACATACTGTGCCAGATAGAATATGTTGTCTTAGAGTATTTAAGGTTTTCGCAGAGTGAACTTTTGGAATTTCAGTTGATGTAAAGATTAAAGTATGAAACACTAAAATCAAAGCTTTTACTACAGTAGAGAAGATAGGGTGGGAGGAAATTATTTGGCTATTTCAGTTTCCAGATCCCAGGTTGGGTAGGTGGTTGAGGTTTTGGCAGCCAAATAATAGGCGTGAAGAAGAACAGGAAAAACTGTTAGACCTGACTTTGCTCATACTGTTATAAAAAGGGAAAAACAAGTGATATAATTGCTGGAAAAGAGATCCTGCTGGATTCCAGGGGAGGTCTGGGAATTTAAGCATGTACTTAACTCCTAAATTTCAATTTAATAATTTTTTCCTTTTGCAGTTTTCATTCTCTGCTACAGATAAGGATATAAGAGTAACCTGGCACATCCCCTGCTGCCAGCTGGTTGCTTAAAGGGGAGAATGTAGTAGTTGTGGCAAAATACTAACCCTGAGACGTGTAGAAAGCGCACTGTCTCTAAAATGTTATTCTCTTAATCTGACTTCCCCAGCCAAAGTGATGTGTTATGCTAGTGTTAGTTTTCTCCTGTTTGAATTGCGTGGTAGATATTCTGATAATTGATCATCAGAAGCGAAGTTCATCTCTTATTCGAAGATGTGGTACGCTTTCACTGCAAGTGTTCCAGAGTTTTAGATACAAACATTATGTTGTGATTTGTGTTTATGGCTGAATTTCTGCCAAGTTAATGTCACACAGTATATGGACGTTGCAGTTTGGGATAATATGGAGAAGTACTGACATAAAGAAAACGTGTAAACGGAAACTTAAAAATGTCTGTCTTCAAGTAGGAATGATGTAGGTGTTTGAGACAACGTGTGACCAGAGGAGTTTGTTGCAAAGAGGCTTACACCTGCATTAAATCAACTTTTCTGAGGCTAAAGGAAAAGAGTGGGAAAAGTATGACTTACTGGAGAAGTGTGGCTTAGTACTTCATTTTGAAAGCTGTTAGTGTCTGACATAGGCTCTAGGTTAAATAAGTCTGCTTATTTCACTGTGGTGTCTAACTTGCTGATCAGCTGTTTTCTAGAAAGTTTAGTAGGCAACAAAAAGGCTTGCAGTGCTGCCAATAACTGATAAGTGTTGTGTGTGTAGTGTGCATTGTTGGGGAGATGCGTGTGCTGCTTAGGTAAAATTTTGTGGGTCTCTGTGTGGAGAAGGGAAGAAAGCAAACAAACCAACTGAAGCAATGAAATTTAGTCTACAGTTAGCAAAGCAAGTTTTTCTCAGAAGTTAAGTTGCTCTCAGTGTCCAAATCACCAGATTGTTGAAGATCCTTCAGAGCTAATGGATAAAACTTTGGAGAAAAGCAAATTTTAAGTGAGAAAGATTTTATTTATTTTTTATTTAAAAACCAAAACCCAACCAAACAAGAAAAACCTAAAAACAATTTTGAAGATGGTAATCTGGCCATCTTCAAAACGTGGTTCTTTGAGGCTATTAACAAAGATTCTGGAAATATTTTCTTCTAATATGCTATTCCATGTAGACTGATGCTTGCAGAATAGATATGGAGTGAGGCAAATAGAGAAATAGGTTCAGTGTTCACAAAACTACTGTGCTAGATATTAGAAACTACTAAAAATGCCTTAAACTATCCCAGTAGATAAAAAAAGTAAATTAAAAAAATTATAAAATTATTTTTCTCACTGTTCATCTGAATGTAGTGATGCAATTGTTTTGAACAAGTAGGATATAGTCAAAAGAAATGACTTACTGATGTGTTTCTGTATTACTTGTTGTAAAGCTTCTGTTCAGATGCTATATAGTGGAGTATGAAAAAAAAAAAAGGGCAAAAAAAATTTCTGTAATTAACACCAGTCCTCTGACAGTTAGGCTTAAAAAAATAGGGAGATGGCTAATATGACTATTTAGTTCTGGCAGTTTTATTTCTCTTAAAGTTGTCTGTGCTTTTACCAAACTATGAAGAACAAGTCTTAACTGATGCTGAAAGAGGATGTTGATCAAAATCCTGCTTCAGTAATATACACTGGTTTCTTTTGTGAAGGCCCTTAATTTGCTGCTGCAGTTGAAGGAAGTTTGTGTTAGCCTTCACGGATTAGAGGACAATGTCACTTCTGCACTTGAATAGGTAACCCAGAGAGAACCGAAACCATGTGGAGGAAAATTAAAACCTTCTGAAGGTATGAAAGCCTTTCCTCTGACCACACATGCAGTGTGACTGCTTTACAGTACAAAGGTTGTGCTTGAGAAAGAAATAGAATGGAGAGAACTGATGCAGCCTAACTTCAAAAAACACCTTAGCTTTCTTTTCTGTTGTTTTAAATGGAAAAAATTATACCTAATTTATACCCCACTTATAATGTCAGGGTTGGTTATGGCATTCTTCAGAATTAAAATATTAGGAAGTGTGAAAGTAAAGGCTTAAAAGCCAGTATATTTTTGTCAGTGGTTGGTTTGCTTGTTGTTGGTTTTTTCCTCTTGATCAGCCATTATGCAATTTAGCTCTGAAAAGTGGCTCAAGATTCCTAATTGAACAGTCAAAATACCAGCAAATGCCAAGAGGTGACAGTGCCTGTAGGAGGGTGTATCCAAGGAGATTTTATGACTTGACCTGTTGTAATTTCAGGTGCTTGAGTTTGCCCTTATTTTACTTAAAGAGTCAGAGATTGTAACTTTGGGAGAGCCGTGTCTTTCAAAGACACAAGTGCATTTAAGAATTGAGTCCCGTGTCAGCCGCGCGCGTCAGACGTGTTTGGCTCTTTTTAGTTGTTGAGAGGCAATAGCAACAAATCTGCCTCATTAAAAAGGGCATTTGTCACTGTCTTAAAGCCATTCTATTTGTTCGCAGGTGTCAGCTGTGATGCATGTTTAAAAGGAAATTTTCGAGGTCGCCGATACAAGTGTTTAATTTGCTACGATTACGATCTGTGCGCAACTTGTTATGAGAGTGGTGCAACGACAACGAGACATACAACTGACCATCCAATGCAGTGCATACTAACAAGAGTAGATTTTGGTAAGTGATAATTTCAAACTCCAGCGATTTGCTGCTGTGTTGTGTCTACAAAGATAATGCTGATTTTCATGTTTCTACTTATTACTCACTTCCCCCATCAGTGCGCTGAAATAAGAGCCAGGTTCTTGTGTTCTAATGAACAGGCATGTTTTTATTTGATTTTTAGCACAGAAGAACTGCTTTATGTATTTTTTTATTTTTTTTTTTAATTGGCGCATGTGTATTTTTTATTTTCTCATTTTGGTCTGATAACAGCAGATTATCAGACTAACAAACTTACTTAATAACAGTGACTGTTACTGGAAGTGCCACAATCTACAAGAGATAAAATCCTGGTGAGATTTTCTAGGAAGGTTATTCACTGGTGGCTTGTATGAGACTGTAGGTATACAGGAAGGGTCGTATTCATTATGAGAGATTAGTGGCAAGGAAAAGTATGTAGTCTTTTTGGAGCTCCTTTGTAGATCTACTAATTTAAGAATTCTTTCTGACTGTAAAGCCTTGCCAGTACTTAAAATAAAAAATAATTGTTCTTGTCTCCTATCCCATTGTTGTTTCCATTGCACTGTATTTGCCACAGGTTGTAACTTGCAAAATAATTCTGTGACAATCCACTTTGTTGCTGATGCTGGACATGTATTTTCTTTTGATGTTAAGCCCATAGGACTGGCATTTTAATTTTTTTTTTTTTTTGGTGATTCCAGCTGTAATCTTAATTTTTGATCCCTTTAAATATGATGATTTCTTGGAAGCTGAAGTCCTGTACTTCTTTACCTTTTTGATTAAAATAGAAATAAAATTTATACTTGATTGCTTTAAAGTTTAGAGAATAGGTATGTATAAAAACATGCAGTTTCTCAAAACAACCCTTATATGAAGATATCTTCAGTTTCTTTCAATTCTTGGACCTCTGCTTACCCTTAGACTGGCTGGTCATGACTTCAGAAATCCAGACCCTGGGAATCCAGAGTTTGAATGGAGATAATTTAGTGCACTATTAAAAATACATGCCCCCATTTTAGCTTGCATATATTTGTTGTTGGGCTTTTTTTCTATTTTTTTTTCCCTCTGTGTACAGTATTGGGAGTCGAGGTCACTGTTTGAGAGGCACAGTTGAAACTTCTTGGCCTGTTAGCAGCAGTCATTTTTCTGTATTATATATGGGTTAAAAGGACAGCATTGCTGTACATATTAAATGCTCATCATAGGAGTAAAAAGACTGAAACATACTTGCTATGAAGCCTTAAACTAATATTAAATGTCAAAGATTTCAGTGTACTGCAATGAGAAAACTTTGTTCTAAACCATACTTTCTTTAAAAATGCCTGTCATCAGAACCCAAGAATGGCTAGGAATTATATTTTGTTTTGCATCTCAAGTACATCTCTTGTGAAAGTATTTGATAGACATATCTTTTGGCTTAATGCATTTTGTGTGTGTATATGGTGGGGACAGAGAGGGGTTATTTATTCTGTTTAAGTATGCCTGAAGAATATGGATGGTGAGGTGGAAGAAGGTTCACAGTGAAGTATTGAAGTGGGTAATAGGATTCCAAGGGCAACTTCTGCATCTCTTGGTGTTTATGCTGCTTATTTTCCAAATGAGAATAAGAAAACAAGGTCTAGCAATTTCATGTGGCTTGGTGTCCAAGCATTGCTCTCACAGAACCAGTGTTAGGAAAGAAAATACTGCAGCTCAGCTCTGCTGTTAGAATTCTGGTTTGATTAACTCTGTAAAGCAAGAACATCACACAACTGTGAGCCACAGCAAAAGCTGATGGCACCCAGTAACTACTTGTGAGCTTATACACTGGAGAATTAATTGGGAAATATTTAAAAATAACATATTCCTTTTAGCTCAGGAAGATTTATGACATCATTCATAAAATGTTTTGGTTTTAGAGTTCTCTGTAGAATACACATAAAGGAGTATACCTTAACAGTATTGTACAGATGCTTAAAGAAACTCTGGTAGCTTTTCAAAGGGCCTTGTGTAGCCAAGAAGATGATGTGATTTTGAGGAACATCTAAAAAATTAGGAGCTAAGGAATGTTAAGTTTAGTTAGAAAATAAATAATGAGTGATAGAAATAGTCTAGAATGACTCAGCATTGTTAGGATCATTGTGTTAGTGGATACTAAAAATCACCAAGGAAGTAGATATTAATGGCTGAAAAGAAAATAATCAAGGGTAAATTGGCAACATAAATCTAAATGGCAGTGTTGTGGTTTAACCCCAGCCAGCAGCCAAGCCCCCACACAGCTGCTTGCTCACTCCCCCACCAGCAGGATCAGGGAGAGAGTCAGAAGGGTAAAAGCCAGAAAAGTCGTGGATTGAGATAAAGACAGTTTAATAGGGAAAGCTGAGGCCACACACACAAACAAAGCAAAACAAAGAATTAATTCACTGCTTCCCATGGACAGGCAGGTGTTCAGCCATCTCCAGGAGAGCTGGGCCCCATCACGTGTAATGGTTACTGGGGAAGGCAAACACCATCACTCCAAACATCGTCCCCCACCTTCCTCCTTCTTCCCCCACTTTATATGCTGAGCATGATGTCCTTTGGTCTGGAATATCCCTTTGATCATTTTGGGTCACCTGTCTCCTCCCAGCCTCCCATGCACCCCTAATTTCCTCCCCAGCTTGGCAGTATGAAAAGCAGAAAAGGCCTTGGCTCTGTGTAAGCCCTGCTCAGCAATAACAAAACCATCTCTGTATTAACATTTCAACCCTGTGTTCAGCACAAACCCAAACCACAGACCCATACTGGACACTGTGAAAAAGTTAACTCTACCCCAGCCAAAACCAGTACAGGCATAGAAGTAATGAAGTCTTCAGTCACTTCTTGGCGGTGTGGGAAGTCAAATGAAAGGAGAGTGTTTTCTAATGTATGACACTGTGAGTAGGGAGTTTTCCTAAGTAAGGGGAATGTCACTAGAAACATAAACTGGAAGGCTGGTAAGTGTAGGTAGGTGTGCAAATTGTGGTTTACCTGGCCATTGACAAACTTTGTTACTGTTGTCTGTGGGCAGGTTTGTTTCAAAGGTATGAAAACTATTTTAAGAGCAGTAAACTTACAGTTTCTGCTGATGGTGCAGAGGAAACTGGACAGCTAGTGGAACATGAGTATTTTATCAGGGAGAAGGAAGCAGAGTGGGGGATCCTTCCATTGCAAAACTGGTGCAAGCACTTGGGAGGAAATCAGTGTAGTTTTTCTGATTTTAAAAGTTAACGTGGGGATCAGTGAGTCATTTGCCCAAAGTCCGCCTGCAACTGATGAAAAAGACTCTGTAGCATTAATTCCCACCACCATTCTGGCCATCACTCTCTATATGCAGATGTCTGTGGAGTTCATGTAAGTACTCTGCCTGAGGCTGTGGCCAGGTTCAGGTTTGTGATAGACAGCTAACCACACAGATGATCCTTTCAGCATAGAAAAACTTAATATATTGTTTACCTCTGTGAAAATTATGATCAGTTTTTAGGGTTCCTGGTACTGTAGTAACATTACAGAATATACTGCAAGGATGTGGGCTTATTCAGGTACTCTGACAGAGCTTTTGTTTTCAACTTGACACATTTTGGTTTATTTTTTCCCCCTGAGACTGGGACTAATATAGGAGCCCATATGAGAACACTGAAAAGAAGTAAAAAGCCCCACTGTTTTCTGGCTACACCTCTTTACTCTTGTACCATCTGGTTGCTGTATTTGTCTTTCAGGAGTCAGTGTATGACCCAGTATTAATTCTGAAGCAAGATGGGATCCAGAACAGCGCCAGTGCTGTTGTTCCTGAGCCCCCACAAGACTTACTGGAAAAAATGCTTTAACCAGCACGAGAGTAATATGCTGCTGTAACAGGGACAGAGCTTAAAATAAAATATGAAGTCTCACATGTAATGACAAGTGGCCTTTAAAGTACAAATCCAATTAGTTTATTTCAGAGGGGTCAGAGAGTAGCATTGCAATAGGCCTGTGTAGAGAACAGGAATGTGCTTACCAGGCAGTCATTGTACTGTTGTGCTCTTTGTAGGATAGTTTGTCAGGACAATGGAGAAGTTCAGAGCAAATTTCCTAGTTTTCTTTTTCTAAAAAAGAATTCTAAGCTGTTAGGATGTTTTAGGGTCTAAGCATGTGGCTTGCACGTTACTGCATCATTTTAAAGTGGTTGTACTGACAGAGAAAGTAATACAAATTGTTAGTAGAATCCTCTGCCAAAATCATACTGTGTGGCTTTCATCAAAGTCAAAAACCAACCTTAGTTCAGAAGTACTTTCACTTGTCAACTCAGGTACTTTTGTGGCAGAAGATCCTGCCACCTTTTGTTCCTGATTCTTAGGCAGAGGGAGCTGATTCAATAATGGGTACCTTGATAATGTGTGGTGTGGGGTCTGACTGGATTCACCAGAATTCAGTGTGAGGTAATTCAGGTGGGGTTTTTTTTCACCCACTAGAATAAAATCTGTTTGCTAAATGTGTATATTGCAAAGTCATAACATCATTGTTTGTTTTGAAGGGAACTTCGGAGCAGTTTTGAGGGTAATACTGTTCAGAATAGTAAGGCTGCTTCATCAGTGATACAGGAATATGTATACTTTGTTCTGTTAAGTGGGATGTATTGCCACCATTTGGTCTCTTCAAACGTTGAAAAAAAATTCAAATAAATGCACTGCAACTTGTATAATACTGATATTTTTATCTGTACATATATATCACATTGAAATTGCATTATTCATGTAAAGAGAAATGAAACTGAAATTCCTTTTGACCATGTACCTTTGTAAAGAATTATGTCTTAGCAGAAAAGACAAGCTGTTATAAATGTAATCCTGAATCAGATATCTCTTTGAAAGATAGATTTTTATCCAAGGAATCCTACAGTACTTTTTTTTCGTTACTAACCTCCTGCCAGTTTTGAGAACGTACTACTTAGAGTTAAATATTAAATATACATGTAACTTTTGTAGCTACAGATGGATAAAAAAGCAAAACTGCTTATAATTTTGGTTGAATTTTCGCATTAAATTTGGATTGTTTCTTGGTTGGTTTTTTTCCCCTACCAGGAAAAGCTATAATGTCTAAACACTGTGGTGTTTGAAATCTGACTTCATAAGTGTTTTTTGGGTCCTTGCCAGAAAGTATTTTGATCCTTCTTCTCCTTTGTATTCTCCCCCTAACTGATAAGCGATACAGGTAACAAATCTCCTCCTAGAGAGTTGTGATTGAGTCTGATTTTCTTCTTGCTAAGTAACCTCTAAGTCTTCCTAGCTTTGAACAGAAGGCTTTAGAGGTACAGAGGAGTTTGAAGAGTCGTGGACTCCTGCTTCTGTCTTTGAAAAGAACCAAAATTTAATGTCTGAAAGGTTTCTTTGTGGCCAGAAGGGATAATTCTTTGGTCATAGGCACATTGTGTTCTAACACTGATAGATTTGTAAATGAAAACAGTAACACAGTTGTAGGTTGCCTCACTGCTACAGCCATGGAGGCCTGGTGTTTTCATTTTTTCCCTTATGGCCTCTAATTGTTAGGATCTTCGTTAGCAAAGGAACTCTTTGTAGTCAAGAACATGATTGTTCGTAAGTTTTAGGATTTTTTTATGTACTTGAAAAAACAAAACAGATGGGGAAATAGCCATTTAATACCTTCAGCACAAAAAACAGACTCAAAGATTCATGATATCAGCTAATTACCAGCTTCCTTTTTTTTTTTTTTTCTAATTTAGATTTTACTTTAAAGGAAAACTTATCTGGTGATCTGTATTTCAGATTAGAAAAGGGATAGATTTGGATTGTAAGAGATGGAGAGAGATTAAAGTTGAGGGAAGGGAAAAAGAAGGGAAGTATAAACTTACAAAGGAAAAATATTAGGATTTGCCAGTGACTGTTTTAACTTCTACAGGTGCATTTCTTAATATTTTTTTCCAGATGAAGGCGTATTTATTTGGCTTGTGCCTGTGTGTGTTTGATGTGTATTACGAGAAAGAAGGGAAAGGAGGTTTGAGTAGGAGAACACAAAGGTATAATCACGAGACTGGAAAGAACTCACTTTTTTATTTTTTTGTTGAATAAATGTTTTGTTTCGAATTCTCTAAAAAACAAGGACCAGCACAGAATTTGACAGTACTCGTCAAACCTCCCCCCTCTGTGATAGAACAGTGTGTACTGCTGGACTTCTTGACATCTGGGTTGAGCTAACAGTGTATCTAAGGAAAAGAAACTTTCACGTGCTCACGTGCCCGTTCATCCATTTACAGCTCTCTTCAGATGGGTTGTGGCCCTGGGCCCTTTGCTCAGCTTCGGGGAAGTTGGAGTTCGTACTGCCTTACTTGAAAACAGTTATATTCATTCATTCAGAGGGTTTTATAGTTAGAGGGTTTTAGACCACTGATGATTTTAAGGGATTTTTTTTTGTTTGTTTGTTTTTAGATAGTAAATGCAAAAGTTTCTTTTCTGTGCAAAGTCTTTAAACAATAAGATGATTTGCTCCTTTGAGTCATAATCGTCATGTTTTATCCATACCAGTATATAAAATGCCAGGACTCAGAAAATTCCCTGAAGTTAAACTGCTCAGCTAGAAAGGGTCCTTAGAGGAAAATTTGACTTGGCGTTCTTGTGTGTATGTGTTTGCAGTGATGGAGATTTTCAGTTTTCCCATCAGTAAGTAGGTTCTTAAGCATCATCACAAGGGTCATAGCAAAGCTTAAGTGAAATCAGAGGATCAGCTAAACAAACTATGGTTAGCTTTGGATGAGTTTGTGACTGACTGGTGGTTTTGTATTCCCAAAGGTATGCAGAATTTTTTTGCAGAAATTCTTGTTCAGTTACTGAGTTTCAGAGAACAATACAGTGTTTGCATGTGTTGTTTGGAAAGACTAAATGCAGTTAAATTTGGAATTCTTTTAAACTATTCAGCTCAGAAGTTTGGCCATCTTACTTACTTTGTTCCCAGTATCTTTATTTAAGTTCCAACTCCCTTATATCTTTGGGACACTGGAAAAAGTGAAAACAGAAGTTTGCATTTACTCTGTACAATGACACTGTAGAAATAAAAATGCTTTTAAAGCTTTCTTTTTTGCCATATACTGTAACAACTTGTGTAGTGACCTGCTTTAATTGTAATTTTTCATTATATAATTGCAAGGAGGATTTTCATCCATCATCAGTAAAGCATTTTGCAGTTATCTGTTTAAAAAACAACCATCCTTTGAGTCCCTTGGTTTACAGGTACGTTTTTCTGAAAGAATATCTGTTCCAGAATCTGTATGACTGATCCATTTAGAGACCATTTTAGTGACTGCTTAGGACTTTGTCCCACATAAACCTTGTTCATACTTTCCTCATTTGAAACCATGACATGTATAAATTCTTTGTGTTTGATTACACTGCAGCACATTGGTAATGTTTTTTACCCACGCTCAGTTTTTTGGGTACATCAGAAGGGAAGTGTGATTCCTGGAGAAACTTCCAGAGGAGTACTTAGTCAAAGATGTACTGAGCTCACACTGGTTAGGAGTTCCAAAATCTTGAAGTCTTGTGAATTACGTTCATATGTTATCTGAAACAGTCTCCATAACACCTCAGTCTTGGATCAACTTAATTTTTGCATCAGTCTCTATTGTATACTGTGTAAATAAGAGGAGAATGGAAGACTGAAGCAAGACTGGTCAACACCTGTAGTGTATGTGCATCATAATTTTAGAGAAGCTGCTCAAGTCAAAAGATAAACATATGCTTACTGTGAGTAATGGATGAGAATAACAGATAGTGCAAAAAGGAGGAATATGCTGTTGTTGTTCCTATTTTTGAACATTCAGAACACACTCCAAAGCTGATTCATATTTAATTTATAAATGAAACAAGCAGATTTAAGAGTTTTATAAGAAGTTTTTTTCCAGTCTGGTAGTCTTGTCATCCTCAGTTGAATATGGTACATTTAAGTGTTGGCCAGCAACTTCTCCTGCAAATATGGGAAGGTAGACCTTTTTCTTCCTAGCTTCACTGGTTCTTCCCATGGATTTACAGGGTATTAGGCAAGGACAGGTAGTGAAGAACATGAGTATCTTTTCAAATATGTCCAATTTTTAATTTATAGCAGGAGATCCATAATTTTATGAAAGTATTTTTCTGTTACTTATCAATTAGTCCTAGAAAAAAATGTCAGTGAAAAGATTTTAAATTAGTTGCTGGAAAAAAACACATATTTTGTTTTTATTATGTGAATGTGAAGCTGAGTCGTGTTTCCTATAGAACATTTAATACCTGAGAGAATGGGAGAGGAAAACATTCTCTTATGGCATGGTTTGATAAATTTTCATGTTACGTTTGGCGAACTTCTGCATTAGCAACTTAAAAGTGCCTGCTTTTCATCAGTAGTACAAAAGTGCTCACATTCAACACACCTAAAAGTTGCAACCAGTGTGTAACAGATAATCAGATTCCTTTTTCACTGTCAGACTCTTATGTTATATATTTCAGACATTTCCAGAAGTACTTACTGCGAAGGAGTGGTTCAGCTGTGGCATAAATACTGACATATGGTATCACTGAGGACTTTTAAATTGTAATCTAAATTTGAGCTGTTGCCGAGAGTTCAGCTTTTGAAATCTCATGATTCAAAAATACTGTAGTTGAGCCAGTACATGGGATAAGAGTAGTGGTGGAAAAGTGAAAGTTTGGCAATATTGGCAGCATCATGATAGAAGTCCTTGTTCCTAATGAATATTAAAAAACTATGTTATGTGTATTAATGAAAATGAAATGTAATCTCTGGTTTTTATCATCAGTACCCGAACATTTCTTGAATATAGCCATTTCAATGACACGACAGATTAACTTGGCAGTGATTACAGTGAAGTACATTTATAAAGAAAGGTTGATGCAAACAAAATAAATGACGATACGGCTTTGAAGTAACCCCCATTTAAATGCTTTCTGTTTCAGATTTGTACTATGGTGGAGAAGCTTTCTCAGTAGAGCAGCCACAGTCTTTTACTTGTCCTTATTGTGGGAAAATGGGTTATACGGAAACATCTCTTCAAGAACATGTTACTTCTGAGCATGCAGAAACATCAACAGAAGTGGTGAGAAGCTTCAGAATTGCTTTCATGGTGGAAATATGTTTAAAATAGTATCTTTTCCGAAAAACTGTTATCCTTCTGTTCTGTTTCTGTCTTGAGGCATGTATTCATTCAAATGCTTTGTCAGAAGATGTAGCTAACTTGACAGTGACATCAAAATTCTATGATTTATGGGTATCATAATATAGTGAGCTTGCTTACTTCTTTTTATGATTTTTGTTTTGTTGTCCTGATAGAATGGCTGCCATATATAGGAGATCATTATTCTGTAAGACACAGTTTTTGAAAGTTCTCATTGTTATTCTATCTAGCTGTGTCTCCCTTTTCAAAATCGGTATGTAATTGTCCTGGAAGCTTATAGCTATGCCAGTCTTTTGTAACTGTGAGAGAGAGGAAGACATGCAAAGAGTTTGGTGTGATTTTCAAGTAACTATTTTAATGGACTTGGCATTTTTATGAAGTGGGATTTTACCATTCTTTTAAAACTATTATTGTCAAAGTGGGAGGTTTTCCCCCCTCCCTAACCGTTAGGACACTTGATGTGTTAAAAATGCACATCTTAAACAAGTGTCAACAGAAATACTTCAGTCAGAGATGTTAGCTCCTGCTGTCTTGGTTGACCTTGGGAGAAGGAGAAGCTGTTTTAGCAGAATGACATGCAGGGTATTGTTCTCTGGTGAACTGTTTTGCCAGAGATTCCTAGAAAAAAGGTGATGCTTGAAGTGTATTACTCATTGCTAATGCATTATGAAGAAATTAATTATAAGTAAGTTCCCTATTCTAATCTTGTACTTTCCTTAACTCTCAAGGAATTCTGTGGAAGAAAATGAATTATTTCTCTCCAAGCCTATTATGGAACTTGGGTGAAGGGGTGATATGAAAGGGTGTTTGTTCACCTTTTTTGAGACTCAAAGTTGTCCTGGTCTTTCTTGAAAACATAGGAAGTTGAACAGTTTACTGCACAATCAACTGGGCTGTAGGATCATTATTTAACTCAGCAACACACTGCGATTTTTGTAATCTCCTTGAGTTTTTCTTAAACTTTGCAACTTTCAAACATGGCATCAAGCATTCAGAGTTCCACGTTTGGATGACTTTATTTGGTTTAGTGGCTTAGTATTGCAATTCTGATTTGCACCACTTGGTGTCAGTGATATGTTCCTGACACAGAAATGTTCACAGATCTCAGGTTTTTAAATTTGACACGGCCTTGTTTGCAGCTGTGACTTCTAGAAGTCAGCACTAGCTCTGAACTAATAACTAAAGCCTAAATTTGTGATTTTAGACACCTACTAGTCCAGTGAATCCTGAAAGAGTTATTAGTAAAAAAAAACAACCACTTTTTGTGCATCAGTCTGCAACACTGCTATATCTTTGTTCCAAACACTGATAAAGGACAATGTTTTAATCCTCGAATACAATTGTCTCTGTTTGTGCTGAGGTTTGAATCTAGCTTTTATGATAAATGTTTAGTGTGCATGGACATCAAACTACTTGGGTGCTGTAGCCTTACTGAGACAGTGAAAGGCTACAAGATTACTAAAGAGGAAAATATTATGGATCCTAAGTGTTCGTAGTTGTAGGTTTTCAAACAATTGTTTGTGTTTGGGTAGCGAGCTTGTAGTGGTTGTAGTATCTCTGTCTATCCAAAGATGTGTTTTATTGTAGATATTTTTAGACCTTTAGGGAAGTTTACAGGGATAGTCACTTATAGCCCCAGCCCCATACACGATGTTTCAAAGAGTAAGACAAGCAATTTTTGCTCAATTAAATTTTGCCATTTTTGTATTCAGAGTGGTGCAGGTAAAACGTTTACTTTCTGCTGATTTTTCTCAGGTATATACAGCAATGTTAAGTATTTGTGGGTAGGAATCACAGACTGACTGATGTTGAAAGGGACCTCTGGAAGTCACTGAGGTCACTTGAGCAGAGCCACCTACAGGTGATTGTCCAGGACCATGTTCAGACAGTTTTTAATCCACTGAGGACAGTGACTCCACAGCCTCTCTAGGCAACATGGGCCAATGCTCAGTGACCCTCACAACAAAAAAGTTTCCTGATGTTCACGAGGAACCTCCTGTGTTTGAATTTGTCCCCATTGTCTCTGGTTCTGTTGCTGCCTGGCTTCATCATCCTTTCAGGCTCCCTTCAGGTATTTGTGTACATTTTTAAGATCTTCCCTTGAGAGAGATCTTCTCCAGGCCGAACAGTCCCATGTTTCTCAGCCTTTCCTCACAGGAGAGATGCTCCATTCCTGAAATCATCCTTGTAGCCTTTTGCTGAACTCTCTTCAGTGTGTGCATGTCTCATGTATGTGGAGCTGAGAGCTGGGCACACTACCCCAGGTGTATCCCCACCTGTGCTGGATGAAGGCAAAAGATCACCACACTCAACCTGCTGGCAACACTCTTTCTGATGCAGCCCAGGACACCACTAGCTTTCTTTACCAAAGAGCACACTGCTGGCTCATGGTCCACCAGGACCTCCAGGTCCTTTGCTGCAGAGCCGTGTTCCAGATGACTGGCCTCCAGTGTGTGCTGGTTCCTGGGGTTGTTCTTCTGCAGCTGCAGGACTTGTGCTTCCCCCTTCATGAGATTCCCATTGTCCCATTTCTTCAGCTTTTTGAGGTCCCTCTAAATGGCAACACAACTCTTGGCATATCAGCCATTCCTCACATTGAGATAGTTTTCACTCCATCTCACTGTCTGCTTATTCAGCCTGTGTATCAACAGCTTGTCTTTGAGGATCCTGTGAGAGGCAGTGTCAGAAGTCTTACCTGAAGTCCAGGTAGACAATACCCCTGCTCTTCAGTCACCTACCAGGCCAGCCGCTTCATCACAGAAAGTTTATGAAGTTGGTCAAGCATGCCTTCCCCTCCGTGAAGCCATGCTGACTGTTCTTGATGATTTCCTTGTCTTTAATGTGCCTGGAAATGGTCTCCATCACCTCCCCAGGATCAAGGCAAACTGACCAGCCTGTAGTTCTTCAAGTCCTCCTACTTTCCTTCTTTAAGATAGGAGTGACATTTACTTTACTCCAGTCCTCAGGTACCTCTCCCAGTCACCATGATTGTTCAAAGGTTATTGAGATTACCCTCCCAATAGCATCTGCCAGCTCCCTCAGCACTTGTTGGTGCATCCCATCACAACCTCTGGACTTCAGTATGTCCAGTTCACTTAGGTATTCTGCAAATTAATCCTCTTCCAGCAGAGGAATGTCTTCACTGCTCCAGACTTCCCCCTGGTCTCTGGGGCCTGAAGTTCCTGAAGACCAGTTTTGCCAGTGAAGACCGAGGCAAAGGAGTTGTTCGCTGCTTCAGCCTCTTTTGTGTCTTGTGTAAACCACCCCCCTCATCTTTTGAGCAATGGGCCCATGTTTTCCCTAGTTGTGCTTTTGTTTCCTATGCACTTCTAGAAGACTTAGTAGACATTGCTTACCAGATTCGATTTGATTTGGGCTTTAGCTTTTCTTATGTTGCCCTGTGATGCTTAGATAATGTTTATGTATTCCTCCAAGGTCATCCCAGGAGAATAACCTCCATATATTCTCTTTTTGTGTTTGAGTTTGACCTGCAGTGTCTTGTAGGCCTTCTGGCATTTTTGCCTGACTTCATATTCATTGGGAAGGGAACTCTTTGAGCGTGGAAGGAATGATCCTAGGTTATTAACAAGCTTTCTTCAGGCCACTCTACTCTCCAGTCTTATCTCATGGGACTCCTCCAAACAGATATTTTAAGAGACCAAAGTATGCTTTGCTGAGGTCCAGAGTTGTGAGATTTTTTTTTTCATCTTCCTACCTGCCCTCAGAATTTCAAACTGCACCAAGGTCACTGCAGCCAAGGCTGCCTATGACCTTCACATCCTGAATTAGCCCTTCTTGTTGGTGAGTATGAAGTCCAGCATAGCACCTCTGGTCGTTGGCTCCTCTGTCACTTAGAAGTTACCATGAGAGCAATCCAGAAACCTCCTGGATTAGAGTCATGCTGTGTAGTCCTTCCAATACAGATACTGGGGTGGCTGAAGACCCCCATGAGGACCAGGTTCTGCAAGTGTGAGGCTGCTGCTATATGTCTCTAGAGAACCTGCCTGATGGATTGTTCTTCCTGGTTAAGTGGCTTATAGTAGACAACCACTATAGTGTCAGCCTTGTCTTTTTGTTGGTGTTGGATTTCAACTTTAGTTGGACTGTTCCAAATCACTGTAAGCCTGCTGGCATTGTAAATACAAAAATTTTAGGAGACTTCATCAAATGTGGTCTCTGAGTCTCGTTTCAGAACAGAGATGCAAATTTTCTACTATTACATTGCACTGCATCAGCTTTCTCACCTTTAGCAAGGCTGTGACTAGGCTACTTGTACATGACCTTCAAGGACTAGGCTGTTGATACTTTGTTGATAAAATTGAGAAGAGCTTTTCTTGCAGTAATGAAATGGACGATCTGAGACAGTTTGAATGGTCCCTGATTCATTCTCAAGGATCTCAGTAACTCTTGTTGAGATTCCAGAAATGCTGTCACTGAAAGTGGTCGCCTTGCACATGAATAGGCAAGTACTGTCAGGTATTCTGTGAGTATAATTGACTTAGGACTTTGGAGTCATCATTCAGGGTAGCATGGTGATTTCTTAATACAAATGCTCATAAATTCAGGAGAAACTTCTGACTGCAGCATTTGTTCATGCATGTTCTAGTTAACAATGATTCTTAGTTGTGTCGCACAATCAGTGATGCAGCAGTCTTTGTTGTGACTCTTGTCAGAGCTTGTGCTTAACTAAATTGGTGTTTGTGTGTAACAATTCTTTAGTAAATTCTCTTGGTCAGAGTTCTTGAAAGTTGAGTTGATGTTTAGAATTAGGGTTGGTAAACTTTGATTTCTTCCTTCTCGTTGTTCTTTATAACTTTTTCTCAGCTGGCGTTTTTCTGAGGACTGAGTCTCTTTGGGCAAATATGTGCAGTTTATAACACCTTTGTCCTACTAGCAAAGAACTTTCTTTTGCTTTGCTACTTTCAGGAGTGTGTTGTTTTTCATGAATTGGGTTTCTGCTTCCTCAGAGTAGCTTAAATGAAAAAAGATTGCTTTGAAGGTGCTGCACTCTCTTGGTATGAAACACGTTCTTGAAGATTAGGCAGCTGTAATGAAGTTTCTGGACTTCAGAACCATCTGTCCAGTACACATCCATTCCTATATCCCTACAGGATAGCCGTATGATATGTTGGCTTAGTTGAGGATTTATTATATTATGCTGTGATAAGTTGTGCCCTGTAGTGTGTCCACTTGTTTGCTTCTGTAGTGGTGAAAAATCTATGAAGACAAATGCTAAACATGGAAAATAAGGGGGGAGAGGTTGTAGCAAAAAGCTTTTAAAATGCCTGGTTTTCTGCTCAGAACTGGCTCCTAAAATTAAAGTGGCATTAGATGCAGCAGTTGCTGTTGAAAGCAGCCGAGATTTTACAGTAAACTTTCTTCAAGACTTCGTTCTCACCTCCATGAGAGTAAGACAGACATGTAAGACATTCTGTAGGTGTCGTTAATGCCCTTGGTCTTTGAGAACAGCTTGGGTATAAGCATGAAGAGCACTGGGAGCAAGAGGTTTATGTTCAGTCCCAGCTACTGTAAAAAAAAATGGAAGATGCTTTTCAAGCTGTTTGTGGAATCATTCAAAAACAAGTCATAATTATGGCAATTGTAATAGTAGTGTTTGTCTGCCTAGTTAATGTGTACTTTGGTTTAAAAACAAAACAAAACCATCCAACCTTTGCTGGGTGGGATGGTCTCAGTTTAATACTTAGCCAATACTTATGGGCAGTTTCATTGATACCTCTGCTGAGATGAGTGTCAAGCAGGCAAATAGCATTCCTGTGTAACTAGACTTCAGTCTGTGGCAGAATTGGCATACAAATACTGTTTTTCAAGACACTGAAAATAGAATTTGCAAATCGTAACTCTGGTTTTCATAGTATTCTGAAAATCATGAAGTAAAAGGTGACTAAATTAATATCTGCAGTTCAGTACATTTTCTGGGTTTGTTTGAATATGTTGACATCCAGGTGTTTGTGAATACCTAGAATGTGATTTTAAAAGCATAAGATGTTTCACTCAATGTTACAAGTTCTGTTTTGTAAACTTTATAAAGTCGGAGTTTTTTTTCTTGCTTTGTCATTTCAGATTTGTCCAATATGTGCAGCATTACCTGGAGGGGATCCAAATCACGTAACAGATGACTTTGCAGCTCATCTTACACTGGAACACAGAGCTCCTAGAGATTTAATATCCTTTCCAAGTTGAGGCAAAGAAACTAGACTGTTTCACCTAGCAGCCATGATGTCTTGGTTTGATTTTTGTAGTCAAAGGGGCTTATTTTGGTTTTCATGAAATTTAGGTTGGTAAACATATTGTATGTCAAAAATAAACAGGTTCGCTTGCTAGTCTAAAAAAGTATAAATGCCAGACTGTGCACAGACTGTAGGTATACTTGAGAATGCTTTTTGCTCTAACAGCAGAAAGAACTTTTTTTACTTGCACTGTGGTTTATCGTGCCTGATCATTACTCTTGACGCTATTTTGTGTATCAAGATTCAGTAGTGTGCTTGTGTGTATTTATGGCATCAAGATGATTCAAGCTTAGCTGGTTTTGACAGAAGATTTTAAATTTGCTTAGCTGATTTTAACAGAATCATTTAATAATGTGGTTTCGTAGTGTTACTGATAATTGGTAAATATTTGGGAAATAGTATGCTGTCTTTCAGTTGCCTTAGCAGCTAGTTATGCAGATTTATCTGTACTTGATGGCTGAAGAGGTGGAACTGTTAGGGATTTTTTAATCCTTGTTCTAGGAATATTTTTCTTTTTTAAAACATTTTCTTCCTCCGTAGAATTAACTGATGAAATATATTTTGGGCTTTTACTTAATGACATGCAGGCTATGTAGCATCCCTGCAGTAAGTAATCTCTGAATTATTCCTTTGTGTCTCATTTAAACAAACAGACAAAAAGGCTACATTATAACTTTGATAGTAGCTTTTTGTGTAAAGATTTTTAAAAAGGGAAAAAGAATAGTCTAAGAATATTAGTCACGAGATCCACTCTGTGGACAAGCAGAAGATCAAGGAGGGCATCTTTACAAGTTGGCTCTCTTAGGACCTGTTCCATAAAGTTGTCATCCAAGTTTTCTAGGAATCTTCTGATGTGGTTTGTCCAGCTGTGTGATGCTCCCTGTTAATTTCTGGCAAGCCAAAGTCCCCATAAGGACAAAGGCAGTTGACTTGGAAGTGTCTCTTAGTTCCTCAAAGAATAATTCTTTGAGGCATCATGCTGGCTGGGAGGTCTGTGGCAGACTCCCACGATGACATTTGCCTTATTTGTTTGCCCCTTGATTCTTACCCAGAGGCTCCCAACTGTACCACTGTCAGCTGTGAGCTCCATACCTCCTAACCCTTCTATTACACACAGTGCCACCCCTCCACCTCTTCTGCCCTGCCTGTCCCTGCTGAAGAGCCTGGAACCATCCAACAGGGCATTCCAGTCACAGGTCTCATCCCACCAGGTTTCACTTATGCCAGTGATGCCAAATCTCTGGGACTGGGCCAAAGCTTTGAACTCCACCAATGCGTACATTGGTGTAGGAACATTTCAGGTGTGGTACATTGTAGCCAACACCTCCTGAGGCAGATGGAGGGGTCCCATTAGTGCTGCTGTCCTCAAGTTTTTGGCACACCATCCCATCACTCATCACTGGCGAGCCTGGTATTTTCCCCTTCCCCCTTCCAAGCCAGTTTAAAGGTCTGCCAGCAAGCCCCACCAGCTCCTGCACTAGAACTCTTTTTTTTTTCTTTCTGAGGAAGGTACATCCCATCAGGTGTCAGTAGACCAGGTGTCGAGTAGATCATCCCATGGTCAACAAACCCAACATTTTTCCGATTACACCAACCTCGGACCCACTCGTTGACCTGTTCCTATCAATGTTATTCCTTGTTACCTGAAGGATCAAGGAAATCACTACCTGTCCCAGGGCCCTGAAGTCTCTTTTGATTGCCGTCAGGTTTCTCTTTGTTATTTTGTTACTGCCAGTTTGAACAACCAATAATGGACAGTAATCAGAGGGCCTTATTAGACTGGAAAGTTTTCCAGTAATGTCCCTTACCGGAGCCCCTGGGAGACAGCAGCTTACCCTGTGAGTTTGGTCTGGTCTACATACCCTCTGTTCCCTTTAGAAGGGAGTCACCTATTACAACTAAGTGCCTGATGAGGCTTTTTCTAACAAGATTTACATCCCTAATAACTATATTACAACTCTAATAACTGTGTAGCACTATACTAAAGGTTAGACTGTGGGCTTCCAACATTGGCTTAACAGCTCTGTAGGCCAGGAAGTTTAAATTTTTCAAGCTACAGAGTGAAATTAATTTCCTGCTGAAATGCACAAGTTATTTGATTAGAATTCAGGCTTCTACAGCATCTTCTCCCCCCTAGAATCAGAGATACCACCAGATGACTTTTAATTAGGGAATGTTTGAGCTATAGAAAATAATGCTTTCAAATATAGAAGGCTTCAACTGCTGGTTGCCTGAGAGAAGAGACCAACCCCCACCTGGCTACACCTTCCTTTCAGGGCGTTGTAGAGAGTGATGAGGTCTCCCCTGAGCCTCCTCTTCTCCAGGCTCAACACCCCCAGCTTCTTCAGCCTCTCCTTGTAGGACTTGTGCTCCAGTCCCTTCCCCAGCCTCGTTGCTCTTCTCTGGACCTGCTCCAGCCCCTCAATGTCCTTCCTGAACTGAGGGGCCCAGAACTGGACACAGCACTCCAGGTGAGACCTCACCAGTGCTGAGTACAGGGCAAGAATCACTTCCCTGGTCCTGTTGGCCACACTGTTCCTGATCCAGGCCAGGATGCCATTGGCCTTCTTGGCCACCTGGGCACACTGCTGGCTCATGTTCAACTTCCTGTCAATCCACACTCCCAGGTCCCTTTCTGCCTGGCTGCTCTCCAGCCACTCTGTCTCCAGCCTGTAGCACTGCAGGGGGTTGTTGTGGCCAAAGTGCAGGACCCGGCACTTGGTCTTGTTGAACCTCATCCTGTTGGAATCAGCCCAACTCTCCAACCTGTCCAGATCCCTCTGCAGAGCCCTCCTGCCTTCCAGCTGATTGACACTCCCCCCAGCTTAGTGTCATCTGCAGATTTGCTGATGGTGGACTCAATCCCCTCATCTAAATCCTTGGTAAAGATATTAAACAGAACTGGGCCCAACACTGATCCCTGGGGACACCACCAGTGACCGGATCCCAACTGGATGCAGCTCCATTCACCCCCACTCTCTGGGCCTGGCCCTCCAGCCAGTTCCTAACCCAGCACAGAGTGCCCCTATCCAAGCCTGGCTGCAGCTTTTCCAGGAGAATGCTGTGGGAGACGGTGCCAAAGGCTTTGCTGAAGTCCAGGTAGACACATCCACAGCCTTCCCCTCATCCACCAGGCAGGTCATCTGATCATAGAAGGAGATCGGGTTGGTAAGACGGGACCTACCTCTCCTAAACCCATGCTGGCTGGGTCTGATCCCTTGTCCATCCTGTAGGTGCTGTGTGATATGTTTGTGTCTTTTTGTAATAGCCAGAAGCTCTCTCTTTCCATGAGGAGTGTAGTAATTTCTTTCAGTCTTAAGTTCTTGACCTCTATGACGTTGGGAGGTTCTGCATCATGACTGATTTATGAAAAGTACGAGGTACACTGCCCTTACTGTAGTAGATATCATACAAGTGGTAAGCATCCTATTACAAAAATAAAAAGCATGGGAGATGGAGGACCTAAGCTAAAAGTCTAGTAACAGTTAAAGTATTAAAGTCCATGTTATTTTATTTTTCACCAGTGAATTATACTAGTGATTTTTAAAAGGAAGCCTTATCTGGACTGCCTTGGAGAAATGCATGTTGACAGCTTTTATGACAAAAATAATCTTTAAATAATCTGTTGATTGCATCAAAATTTATATGAGAGAACCTGTAAAAGGTTTGACAGGAAATATAAGCATCTGTATATAAGAAGTGTAGGGAAATGGGAAAATGAGAAGCATCATTGTCATAACTGGTATTTCTTCAGCTAAAAGAAGAAAGGGTAAAACAAAGGAATATGATAGATGTGCTGAATACTCCAGAAACCTACAGTTTTCCTAAGGACTGAAGTGGTGAAATTTCTTGGATAAAAGCATGAATTACAGGAGTGAAAAGGAATACAGTAATTATTACGTACTTCTGATAGGAGTGGTAATAAACTTTTTAAATATTTTTAATACTTAACGTAAGAATTGGGGAGGGAGAACCAAATCCCTGTGTCTCAGTGGTAAGCTTGGCTGAACGTATTTTTTTTTGTTTGTTTGTTTTCATATTGCTGATTAGAAAATTTTGATCCCCTCAAAAAACAAACAAACAAAAAATTACCAGATCAGTAAGCCTGACTTGCACCATAGCTTCATTGTGCTTCAGAAGTCGAATCATTACTTTATGTGTGAAGAGCAGTGTGCCTCTGAGTATTTCACCCATCAGATGTCCTGGTCATTTAACATTCAATGCCAAACAGTTCTGTTTTCTTAACACCTCAGCTACGATGAATCCAGTGGCGTTCGGCATGTACGTAGGATGTTCCACCCGGGCCGGGGTTTGGGAGGCCCCCGTGCACGTAGATCAAACATGCACTTTACTACCAGTTCCCCTGGTGGGCTTTCATCTTCTCAGAGTTCCTATTCTCCAAGCAATAGAGAAGCCATGGATCCTATAGCTGGTAAGAGCCATAGCCACGGATTTTACCCTGATTTCCTCCTCTCACGTAAAACTCAAGGTTCCCTGCTTTCTGTTGCTGCGAAGCTGCTTGTGTAGATGGGTCCCTCAGTGAGCAGAGTGCTTGTAGCTTGTGCTTTGAATTCCAGGCAGTGTAAGGCTTATTCCCAAACCCATGCATTGGCACTGAGTATTTGTGTAGGTATTTGTGTAGTATTTGTGTCCAGCTTCCATCACCTAATTTAGCATGTGTCATTTTAATTTGCCACGTGATAAAGGTGTTTATATGGAGGACAGCATGTCTCAAAGAGGATGAAATTAGCTCAGTTTGATATTAATGGACATTTAAAATTGGTTCAGTTTGCCTCCAGGCTGCTGTTCAAGTGCCAGGCTTTTATTTCATATTTAATATTACAGACTTTATTTTAAGATGTACATCTAAATTCGTTTATAAACTTACTGTTGCAAGTATTTGAGGTCTGTTTTGGTCAAGGTAAGAAAAATGGTGATGAGGGGAAGAGTGTCTTATTTTCAACACCAAGATTCCCAGGAATAACTTGTTTGGCCTGTGTTTAGCTTTGATTTGAAAAAAAACTGGGTTTTTTACAAGAAATTAAAAATAGAAAATAAAGACAATTCTGAAAACACATATAGCTTTGCCTGAGGGGAAATCTAAACATTTTCATATGGTGGTCTTTGACCAGGCCAGTAGAGCACCAGAGCCACTGGGTCTTACACTGGCATGGTCAAACTCATTAAATTATCTGTGAAAAAATTAAATTAGCCCTTCAAGAGAAGAAAATAAGTTAAGCAAGGTCACAGGAGGTCTGAAAAAGACTCAGGTTTGTTCAAGGAGGGAATATGTTCATGAAACTTCCAGTGCAAGGCATCATCTTTCTCTTCTAAAGGGCAGCTAGTTGAGCACAGTTAAATGTGGAGTGACTGCTGAAGTTTGTTTTCAGCCTCACAAGACCTTCCCACTTAGCAGCATTACAAGTGGAGTAAAATGGGCTTATTCTGCATCTTTTCTCTTTTGGTGGAAGCTGTGATTCTGCATTTAGAGTGCACTGAGCTGGGTGTCCTTCTTGTTCCAGGACTGTCTCGAGTTCACACCTGCTTCCAAAATACTGGTTTGCTGTTATCTAAGCTTAAACTTACAGTCAGAATAAATATATCTAAATCACATCTGGAAGTTTTAACGTGGCTTCCTTTTTACTGGCATAATAAATAGGATTGACCACAGTAATTTTTCTGTTTAAATGAAGTTTGTAGCATCAGTGACTTTTTTTTTTTACAATTTTTTTCCCTCCCAGTGGCATTCTGTAGTAATTAAAAGTTATAAAATCTTGCTGTTGCTGTCACTGCTGGTGAAAACTACTTGACCACTCTGAGTTTGCTTTATTCCCTCAAAGAAAGCTTACTTTAGAATGGTTACATTTTGTTAATGCAATGGAAGAAAAATTGTCATGACCTCCGTAGTAATTTTGTAATGTGGAAGAGAGGGGCAGGAGCAGGATTGTCTTCTGCTTCCTCTGCTCTTGCATCAACTGCAGCAATTGGCTGACATAAGAAGTACCTTCTACACAGGGTGTAGAAGAGATTCTGCAGTAATGCACTGAGCAGTAATTTGCTGCTAATACTTATTTCAAAAAATTCCTTTTGGATGGAACTTGCAATAAGCATTCCATCCTTCTGATTTGGAAGACTGAAGAACAGAGGGGTTTTTTAATTGCTGGGCCTTCTCTGTGATTCCAGCAGAAATAAAAATTCCTACAGAATGCTTTTGATGTGAAGCAATGATTCAATATGTTTTCTTAGCTAAATGTTTTTTATTAAAAGTTTGAAACAATGGTACAGTTTCTCTCTTGGCTGCAGCACAGCTTCCCTCTGGGGCAATCAGGAAGAGGAAGCTTGTGCTTTCAGGGAACAATTGTTGAAAGGAAAAAAATCAACCAGAGTGAAAATGAACAAGTTTCTGGGTCATTTGGTATTTTGACTTGAAGTCTCAGAGAATTGCTGCAGAGGACATAATTTGCCAGACAATACCGATAGATTGACTCTTAATCTTCCTCACTCTCGGAGCCATTAAATGCTCAGACTTTAAAAAAAAAATAAAAGTGTTGGTTTTTTTTTTAAAAAAGAGTTTCATGGGCTCTCTGAGCATTGTTTGTTCTTTGATGTTGGTGATTGAAAAAAGAAGGAACCGATGCATTGAAACTCAGGGTGCATTCATTCTGTTGTGTGATGCTCATTTAAGATCTTTCGTCATAGTAGCTTTCTCTTCTCTGGCAGAGCTTTTATCTCAGCTATCAGGTGTGAGGCGTTCTGCAGGAGGACAGCTCAACTCCTCTGGCCCTTCTGCTTCTCAGTTACAGCAGCTGCAGATGCAACTGCAGTTGGAACGACAACATGCACAGGCAGCAAGGCAACAACTGGAGACTGCACGCAATGCAACCAGACGCACCAACACGATCAATGTCAACACCACTATGACACAATCTACAACAACAACCAACACATCTAACACAGAAAACAGTCAGCAGACTATCCAGAATTCCCAGTTCCTTCTTACAAGGTAACTTGTTCAGTGTGTTTACCTCTTGTGATTTTTCTGTTTACCTTAGTTCTGGTGGAGATAACAGAGCTCAGTGAAACTTGGGTGTTTGGAGTTAGGCACATGCCTAGGGTGGTGTTAGTTAACAGCATACTTACCTGGTTTAGAAATTATACTTAAATCCCAGGGTTATTTTAAAGAGGATTCACCTCCTATGGCATTCCAGTTCTTTCAAAATATTGACTATTGACCTGAAATAAAGATGTTTTTCCACATTTCCCTTGCCTTGCCCTCTGCAAGCATATTTTTGTTTGTTTGGTATTGTGAAAGAGTGTGGGAATTTTAACAGCTCCTGTGCCAAGAAGCCTGGATTTGAGTCACAGGGATTTTTATCTAAGTCCAAAACAATACCACATGACATCTTTCAATCAGAAACTCATTTGAGAACCTTAATCAAGGCACTGCAAGTGTCACAGATTGTGACTTTCAGAGTTGGAGTGAGCAGTTTCCTTGCCCCTTTCAGGACATGCCCTGTACCCTAGGAGAAGTGGTGGAATGAAGGTTGTATAGTGCTTCAGCACTCCAGAGGATTTACATGTGCAGTAACATGTTTTGTGGCAAATATGAACTTAAAAGTTGATGTAGAAACAAAGGAGGCACTCAACTGCATGTCTGAGAAACAGCCCTCCCTAAAAGACACCTGAATAGCAGGAAACTTCAGAAGTAGTTTTTGGTTCTCCTCTAGCTTCAGGTTGCACTTTGAATGCTGTTGCAGGAACAGGGAAGGGGTGGGTTGTTACATCCGTACCTGTCACACTGCGGGGCCAGAGGTTGCCAGTGCTGCACGTGTGGAAGGGCAGGCAGGACTGTCCTGAAGGAGCAGCTTTTGGGCACATCTCTGTGACTGTTGGTGGTGTCTTTGGTGAAATGGGCTTTTAGCAACTGCCTGTCTTCTCTTCCCTTGCTGCTGCACAGGTTGAATGACCCGAAGATGTCGGAAGCAGAGCGTCAGTCAATGGAAAGTGAACGGGCAGACTGCAGCCTGTTTGTTCAGGAGCTTCTACTGTCCACTTTGATGCAGGAAGAAAGTTCCTCCTCAGATGAGGATGAGCGGGGGGAGATTGCAGATTTTGGTGCTATGGGCTGTGTAGATATTATGCCTCTAGATGTTGCTTTAGAAAACCTAAATTTAAAAGAGAGTAATAAAGGAAACGAGCCTCCTCCACCTCCTCTTTGATGACATCCCACTTTGCAGACAATGTCCTCTGTGCTGTATTTGCCAATGAAAGTGGACAACAACTATCTTGGGTTTGTTTTGGTGATTGTAATTTCAGGTCTGTCACTCTTGTTACATTGTGTACATTCAAAAGAAAGAGAGAAAAGATATATATGATAATCATTTCCACTTAACTAATTTTTACTTCTAGCAGGTAAATGTAGGTTGCAGTGCAGAGCAGAAAGCTCTGTGTCCTGTACCTTGACATGCAAAAGGCTCTCCTAATACTCCACATTCAAACTGAAGAGGAAAAAAAAATGAAAAATCTCTAATGAAGCTGCTGTGTGTATTTATGAATATTAATGAATAAAAACTGCTTGGATGGTTTACCTTAACTACTGCATGACGTTTTTTGCAGCGTGCATGAGTTTTAGTGACCTTGTCATTTAAAAATTTAAATACAAGGAGTAAAACTATAAAAACCACAAAGCTTTCCCATTATTCAAAGGTTACCTGAGGAGAAGGTTAGTGCTGAGTAGCAGTTTTGTGGCCACAAAGTAGCTTTTGAATAATATGTGACAGAATGACATCTTCATGTGCTGTTCCTGCACAGGATGGAAACTCTGCAGTGGGATACATTGTCGTGACCGGGGTGTGGCATTTTGCTGTATGTGATCATTATGTTGCCCTGTCAGCCGTCACCTCAATGTGTGGAGTTAATCTTCATTTTATGCATCTATAGGAGACACAACAGTAAGGCCACTGCTGGAAGCTACTGCAAGGGGCTTTTGTGTGCCCTGAAATCAAATGACGTTCACTTTTGTTTAAAGCTTTTCTTTGTTGTGGTTGTTAAAATTTTTTAATTGTTAAATATGTTTTATTCAGGTGTAGACAATTCATATATTCACTGTGTTTCTTAAAAAAAAAAAAAAAAAGTTAACCTGGATCATATTGTCTTAGTTTTAAAAAGCCTTTCACAGCCTCAATCATATTGAGTTATTTATGTATTTGCTTCATAGTTTGCAGAGACTTGACAGTATCAGGAAAGCTAGAGGATTTGGATTCCCAGACTGTCAGTATATTACAATGAAATTCCTAATGCTAACTTTAGCACTTTTATTTATTGTTTCTTTTGGTTATTTTCTCTGGTATAAAAAAGTTGACAAAGCCTTTTAGTTGAATCATGCCACCTACATGCCTATACTGTTAAACCTACTGGTTTGAAAAAAAAAAAAAAAAAAAAAGAGTATGGTGTTCTTGTGCATAGAAATTTATAATAGCCCCAAGGCAAGGGCAGGGGTATGTTTGGTTTTGGTTTTTTCTTTCTTTCTTTCTTTCTTTCTTTTTTTTTTTTTTTTTTGGTTGTGTGGGGTTTTTTGAATGTAAAGTTAGATTATAAAAACAAAAGTGCACACAGCTTCTGATGAAAATTTAAACTAGGCTTATATCATAATGGTGTCTTTCCAGATCTCTCACCTCACCCCCTCTCTCTTTCTCTGTATCCTCCCTTCTCAGCAGCATTGTAGAGTAAACGTACAGACTTGGACACCATGTGGTGTTCTCAGCAAAACTGTGACATGTATGCTAATCCAGAATAACAGCAGCAAAAGAAACAACCCCATAGACTGAACTTTAAGTCCCCTCCTTTTTTTTTTTAAATCATCAAATCTTGATTGTTTCCATGTAGAGCAGCACTAGCTTTGTTGGTTTTTTTGTTTTGTTTTTTTTTTTTTTTTTTTAGTCTCTGCAACAGAAAATGTTTCAAGGGAAACTTTACATGCGGCCTCTGGTTATCCTGAGAGTTACCCCCAGTAGGGACTTTTTTTATTGATTGATTGTTGAGGATTTTCAAAAATTTTTCAAGCTGTAGTTTTTCAAACACATCTTCTGCACATTACAATAAGACAGACGGTTCAATAAAGCATTTTCAAGACTGTTGTTCAGTTGATTTTCTTTGGTTTTGATGTATCATGCAGACAGTTCTGTTCCGGAAATTTCTGCAGCTGTTTTTAATTCCAGCTGTATATTCCAACACAAGATGAATTCATGTAGACATCCTGAGTGATTTACATAAACATGTTTTGAAACCAGACGCTTTGGCCAGTGATGAAGTACGTAGTCCTAAACTCCTCACAGGTAGGTGAATTCAAGATTGCACAGACCAAGGTGCATTTAAAAGAGGCTCTTCTCAGGTGTGGTGTTATTTTGTATTGGTGTATGGCTGGTCTCCAGAGGATACTTGGATTGCATGACTTCCAGACTCCACTCTGCTTGCTTTGAAGGGGATGCAAACCAGTACTATCCATGCTTGCTTAGAGACTGAATGTATGCTGACTTGGGTTTAAAGGTATCCTTGAGCATCACGTCAACTCGTACAAATCTTCAGTTGTTTGGGGGTGGAGGTTTTGAGTGTTTTTTAGGTTTAAAAATAATACAGAATGGCTACTTGGAAGGTATTTATTTGAGTAGTCTGCCAATTCCTATTTGCAGGAAGTGTTTTTCCTTACTCCAAAGAGTAAGCTTTGTCAGGTTAGTATTTGTGGGGTATTTCCAAAACATTTATTTTCAGAGTGCTTTGGGCTACAGTGAAAACAGCCAGCAGCAGCTTTGCAGCAGATTCCTGTAGAGGGTTGGTTATTCTTCCATGTGAGGGGGCAGAAAAAACAACCCCCAAACTACTTCCCAGTACACAACATGGACACCACCCTTCCAGAAAAGGGAACCTTAGTACTTAGCTTTTGCACAGTTCTTGGATGCAGTGAAACCTGTATTGTGAAGGGGTTGGTTAAGGTCACTTAAAGAATCACTGGCAAAGGTACCAGCAAAAGCAATTTTGATACAAAAACGTTCTGTGGCCACATTCACTCTGTTACTACATAGATAGAAACACAAAGGAGAATTTGATTGGAGTCAAACTGGAACAATGTACACAGAGACTGGGGATGCAAAAGGGAAAGGATGGAGAACGGACTCCCATTGACTTGGGAGGTTCAGAGTGAGCCCCCTTGCCAAATTTAGCCTTGGAGTTGCTCAGTGGTTTACGCCTAAAGGATTTGGCAGCATTTAATCACTGAGTAATTTAACACTCACAGAATGATTCAACAGGATTTACTGCAAGCAAAAGAGTAGCTTAATTATGACTCTGAGATGACAACGTTGATGCTACACTTGCTGTAGGGCACTGAAGTGGATTCACACACACACAGATGCAGACGTGGATGTCTGCAGGTGTGTGTGTGTGTGTGTGTGTGTGTGTGTGTACAAAGGTACCTCTTAAAAATTCCCCCTGAGTTCAGTGAAATACTGTTGAATGCCTTTGCATTTCTCCGTGGTCAAAGGGTTGAGCTTTGAGCAGGTGGTACCAGCCCAGGCCCCGTTGTCAGTTTTCAGTGATGGTCTCTGAGCTCTCAGACCTGTGGGTTGATGAGTTCAGAGGCATCCTGCTCCAAGAGAGGTGCTGGCACAGCCGCTGTGGCCCGGAGGAGTTCAAAGGGCCTCGTTTGGGATCGCTGTTCATAGGGTTGCAAAATGCTTGGCTTTAGTCATCCATCAGTTTCCATCCTGGCCTCAGTCCAGGTCAATAATTTTCCTCAAAAGTCCAGTAACAATAGTATTGTTTCACTCTGCTGTGATTCAGACAAAAATGAGTTTCCCAGGCTATTAGCTAGAAAACAGCTAGAAAACAGTTTGTTAGGCAGCAGAAATTCCTGGGAACAGGCAGTGTTACTGACGAGCCAAGGGGAGCCTGACTGCCCGTGGGTGGGATGTGCAGCACCACGGGCGGGTCCCGAGCTGCTCACAGGGGGTGTGCTGGGCTCGGAGTTGTGCCCGTGCGCTGAGTGGGCAGAGGCACCCCCAGGGCACCCCCCAGCTGGGGGTGGGACACCAGAGCTGCACTGTCAGCAGAGCCCGTGCCAGCCTTCATTCCAGTGCAGCCTCTGGCTGGTAAGGACTGCCAAAGAGCCTTCTCTGGGGCAGGCAGAAGGGCATATAGTCATTCCAATAGAATCATAGAATCATAGAATACATTGGGTTGGAAAAGACCTCCAAGATCATCAAGTCCAACCCCTGATCCAACTCCAATTACTATATCATGGCACTAAGGGCCACGTCCAATCTCTTTTTAAAAACCTCTAGGGATGGTGAATCCACCACCTCTCTGGGTAGGCCGTTCCAATGCCTGATAACCCTCTCTGTAAAGAATTTCTTCTCCACAGAGCTGTGCAGTACATGGCTCTACAATGCCAGTTATACAAGACCTCCCGCACATGCAGCAGTGACACATCTTTCTACAGAATCATAACAGTTGAAGGGATTGGAACAAGGGTGTTGAAGGTGGGAACAAGTCTGAAAAGCTGTTTGGAATATCACTATGGTCCGTTTTTGTGTCTTGTGATCTGTTAAAATCGGAGATCTGGTGGGGTTTTTTTTCTGTTTGGGTCAAAGCCAAAGAAAGACATCACATGTGTGATAAATAGTGAAAAATGCATTTTAGCTTGCATCCACCTCACGTTTTACTTGGGGTTGTGGTGACTATCTTCATCAGTTTCCTGGGACTCTGAGAGGGTGGGGGGGCTGGTTGTGTTCAGGGAAGCTGGGAGGTTCCATTCTCTGCCCTTAGCTCAGGGTGGGTTCGAAAGACCTCCCTTCTCAGCACAGAGCTGTGCTCCCTGTTAGCTTGTGGACAGCGTAGCTTGGCACAGAAACCAAACATCCAGATGTGTGCACACCTGCAGGTGAGACATGTGTCTGTTGTGAAGGAGTAAAGGCAATTCTGTGCCACCAGTCAGAAGGCCCGGGAGGCAGAGAGGTGCCACTGGCTCCTGGGGCTCTCAAAAGACCTAAACCAGGAAAGCACTGGGTACCTTCAGTATGTGAAGAGTTTTCCAGTTACATCAACTGAATCTTTTCCCTGACATAGCTGACCTTCACTTCTGGTCTGCCTGCTTTGCCAAAAGGACACTTTGCTGTTTTGAGGCTGTTGTTTCATTTCAGCTCCTAAGGAACAGGAGCGAAGTACAGATGCCCAACACTGGTGGAACCCCCCTGTGCGGTGCTGTGTCCTGTGCTGGAGGCAGAGTGACCATGCCCTCCCTCCTTGGTAGCCCTGCAGTCCTTGCAGCCAGTCTTGTGCAGCCCTTCCTCCGAGCGTGCTGCTGGCTCCTGCCTTCCAAACACAGCGGGTACAAACGTGCTGGCCTCTGCACAAAGATTTATTTGCAGGTACTTACACGTCCAGCACAGGTGTTCAAAAGTTATTCGTGGATAAAAATGGAAAAGGAGAACGGTAGGGGGGAACCATGCGGCTTCTGTTGTGTGCATCCACCACACAACCTTTAACACAGCAGTGGCCTTTGCCTCCTGCAGTATCCAACACAACACAAGGATAAGCACACTTAGGCTGTGGTGGTAAAAGCAGGGCCCTGCAGCTCTGGGGTGTGTAGGAGAGGTACCATTTGGAAGATGACCTGCACTGCTGCATCCTCCCTGCTGGGCCAGCAACAGTGGAGGGGTAGGGTGAAGGTGAGTGAGCCTCAGTTTCCCCCTATACCATGTGAAAAATAAGGGAGGCAGCGCTGGCCTTGTGGGAGTTGATGGGGAGGGAAGGCCAGAACAAGGGATGCTGATGTGGGTCTTGGCACACGGGGCGGGGGGGGGGGGAAGCTGGGAAGGGAAAAAAGTGTATAGGAAAAGTTAGGAGAAGTTGACAGTGTGGGAAACAACAGGACAGGCAGAGGGAATGGTGGTCAGAGGAAGGAGACACTACAGTCATGCCCAAGATGAAGAAGAGTGACTGGGGTGGGACTGAGGAGGGCAGAGGACCAGAGTGAATCCCTGGCAGGCAGAAGTGAGGCTGTGGCAGCTTCCTGCTTCTACCATCCCTGTGGCCAAGGAGAAGCTGGCCACCAGTCCTGGGGCTCTCCTGCCCTTCCCAGCCAGCAAATACATCACTGGGCCCACCCTGAGCCTCTGCTCTCCTGTTACTGCTACAGCCACGTGCAGCCCAGGGCTGTGCTGCCACCAGGGCACCCTCATGCTTCTGCTCTCCTCTTCCTTCGACAGAGCAGCCCCTGAAAGGCTCTGTCAGGGCCTTTGCACAGCTTTCTCCACCCCAGCACCACAACACTCGTGGGCTCAGTATCTCTTGGTGGCTGTTGCCTTTTCTTTCACAAAGATCAATGTTTGCCTGTGTCTGAGACCACCACCTCCTCCTCCCCCAGATGCCAGAGCTGCTCATCAGTGCAGAAAGGAAGGACAGTTGCTTCTGTCCACATGAGCAGTGTCTTTCCCCCACCACCACCTTTAGCTACGTCTGTTGTGAAGCTTCCACTGGCGTGGGACAATTGTCTATTTTGGTCACTTAGCTTTGGCCCTTTGAGAGGCAAACTACGTCGTGCACCTCAGCAGCCAGGCGGGATGCTTCCCAGCAAAAGTCAGGAGGTTTGTTGTTTCTGAGGCTGCTGCCCACCTTCCCCTCACCTTCCCCTGCAGAGCCCCAGGAAATGCATTTCCATGATGCCACTTCTCTGTGTAAGACTCAGACAAGCTGACACCAAAGCTGCCCAGGTAGAGCTGTGCTTTGTAAAAAAGTTCTGATTTTTTTCCCCAGCTGTTCTGTAGTACCTGCTTCTAAGTGCATCGAGGGCAAGGTTTGTTTTATCCATGTTATTCCCACTCCACTGAGGTCCCTGTTAACCACCAGCTGGCGTCATCTCACACAGCAGAACAGCACTTCACACTCAAACCAGTAACTTCTAACACAAACTGTGCACTGGTCTCAGTTTACAACCAAGTACCAAATAAAGGACAAATTAGCATTTACATTTTATATAAGCGTTTATTTACAACTTGTTTAACAACTGTACACTCTTCTATCACCTTTGAAGCATTAGTGTATTTGACTGGGAAAAAATATTAAACCTTTTGATTCCAATTAT